AACAGTTAATAACCAACTTCACGACTTTCCAAAGAGCTTAACCACCTGTACAGGGGCATCTTTTTAAAATATGGATTTAACTATCAATGGTCTTTCTTTTGTCTAAATTTGAGTTCCCAATTAGAGCAAATACAAAATTCTTTCTTTGGGCTTTACGTGTATGTGATTAAGAAAGTATTCAAGAGAATTTTGAAAATCAAATGTATTTGCAACCAAGTTTATAAAAATTTTGAAGCAAATGTTTATAATAACTGTCGAAATAACTTCTTTAAAAAGCAGTTCAAAGCACAGTAATAGTGTTCACAGGAGTGTCCACACGAGAGAGCAGGCCCAGCGAGTACACATGAAAAAGAAAATCGGACTGCAGAGAAAAAGCAGGAACATTTTCTTAGAATGTTTACTTTAGAAGAGTAAAGAGGGGAAGAAAGGAAAACTGGGAGGTCCGTAGTGCATGCTACTGAGCCAAAGATGTGCCAGTGCTGATGGCTGACTAAGCCAGGGAAGGTGAGTCTGTGCTCTTAGCCAGGGTGAAGGCCAGAGGCTAGAAAAGAGAAACACTCTGAAGCCCAAGATGGGTCTGAGGTGAGCCAGCATCTAGCAGAGCTGTCTGCCCAGACCAGGGGTGGGGTAGGGGTGCTGACTGTTTGGGGGGCTATGGGAATGTTTTAAAGCCCAGGAGGTCTGAGCCCCTAGAGACTGTGCTTGGGCACTTCCATCATTGAGATATAGCTCCAAGGTGTTTCTAACCTGGTGTTTCTTTACTTTTCACTAAAGAATAATTATACACTAAAAGTCATAGTGAATGCTGGACAGCTTTTGTTGAGAACTATTTTTAAAAAGTTAACTTGGTTATCCATTAACTTGGTTATTCTGATGGAGTTAGTGGGGGAGGCGGCAGTCTGGACAGTATGTATTTTTAAAGATTAATATTATAGTTTTGTTTGAGTGCTTCATATGTTCTAGTAGCCACGACCCGTTTGCAGAGTTTTTACCTGAAGGGCCTAGTTCACAGGCTGTGTGAATAGGGTTCTGGTACTCTAGGTTCACCCAGAAGGAAGAGGAAAAGGAAAGGAGAATAGGGAACTATTTATTTTCAGGAATGAGCCTTCCTTCTCCCAAGCCATGATCAGGTACTACTCTTCCTGGAATAGAAAAATCCATTTTTAATACATATCTACATATATATTTATATGTGTATATATACATATGTTTGTCTATTTGTTTGATCTTTTTTTTTTTTTTTAGTCTCTGTCACTGAGAAAAATTAGAACAGGGGATATTTGAAATAGATAATAGAAAAAAAAGAAACAAATTAAATGTGAAATAATAGTGAGGTTTATTAACAATCTAATAGGCAAAATAATGTTGGGGAAAAAACAACATAAAACTCCAGTTTAACCAAAGATGGCACTTTCTGGCATGTGTGTCAGGGCACAAATTATCATGCTTTATACACTATAATTTTATTTTCCTGAATTAAAAAGCACATTGAGATTCAGAGTTTTGTGAATGGTCTGGGTCCTTGTACTTTTTCTCTGCTACATTTGACCTTCAGCCTTAGCAAATCTGTTAAAAGTGTGTGATGGGGAGTCAGGAATCTAAAGCCTTTCAATCTGGGGACAGAAGAAAACCACTTGATGATTTTAGAAGTGTTACAAACCATATGACATTTGCAGTTTTCCTGCCCCCTCTGGATCTCTTTTTCCCAGTGCATCTCTTTTCATGTGAGCAGGTCTGAGGCTATCACACCTTGTATATCTCCTCATAGTCTCATTCTAAGAATCCACAATAAGTCTGTTAACTGAGGGGAGGTGGGCAGTGTGCCTGTTTATTTTTTCAGACAACAATGATTGTCCCTTGCCTATAATTCCAGTGGCTCAGAGGCCCAGGCAGGAGGATCATAAATTCCAAGCCAGCTTCAATAATCTAACAAGGCCCTAAGCAACTTAGACCCTGTCTCAAAATAAAAACTAAAAAGGTCTGGGGGTGTAGCTCAGGTGTTAAGCACCCCTAGGTTCAATCCTCAGTACCGTGTGTGTGTGTGTGTGTGTGTGTGTGTGTGTGTGTGAGAAAATTTCCAAAATCTGCATCAGGAAGCTAAGGAGAAACTTGGTTTGAAGAGACTTTCAACCTTATTCAGACCTTTCTCTCTCTCTCTCTCTCTCTCTCTCTCTCTTTCTTTCTTTTTCTTTCTTTCTTTCTCTTTCTCCCCCCCCCCCTTTCTTTTTTTTTGGTCTGGTTTTGGTTTTGTTTTCTTAGTGTGATTAGCCTTATTTTAACATCAATAATCTTATCAAAGGACTCCCAGGAAGGAATTTGTAGGCTCTGTAATGACCTTAATCAAGTATTAGCCTAGTACTACAATTAATCCCCAACTCTACAAAACGTATGTTCCTTTGTCTCCAAAACCTGAGCAAGTTGAAAGTGAATGAACACAGGCAATAAGGGAAGCCTGTTTGGAATTTCCTGGAGATCAGACAGGTTCAGCAGTCCAGGGAAAGGGAAGACAGGCAACTGATTACACAAGCCCCCAAGCTTAGCTCTGTTCTCTTGTTCCCTCATTCAGACTTTTGCCAAAAAATAAAAAATAATAATAATAAAAAGTCAAAAAATGTTGACTCAAGTTAGGAAACAGGAGATAGATTTAACTTGCAGTTGTTTTTCTACCGTTTCATATTCCCAAGCACAAAAGAGACTTTAGGTAGTTTTGTCATGGCCAGCCTTAAACTTTACCCAGCACCCAGACAATCAAAATGTGTTGGTTTAACGAGGAATATCTGCAGTACTGGAGATAAAGTCCATCCACACAAGAATCCATTTTATTTTAGACGTTATTTGTACTCACGCCCAAGGAACCCCTACCTAATTTATGCCTACTAGGTGAAAATAGAAGGAAATGTGGGATGGGACTCCTCAGTGACACTGACCGAATAAGATTAATCGCAATCTGCAGAAGCGCAAAGAGAGGATAATGCAATACAACACAGAAGTAAAGCTGTTCAGCCCAAAGCAGTCAGTACCGCTCCTTCCAACCGCCCAATGAAAAGCTACGTTTCACTGACCAATCAAAACATCGAGGACTTAATAAAGCGTTCTTTTTGCTCCACCCCCTTCGGTGACCTAATTTGGAAAACCCCAGCCAACGTAAGTGGTTTTCAATCAGGTCCGCATGAGTATTATTTAAAGGGCTTGTTAGGTCTGGCGGCACTGTTCGCAGCCATGTCAGGTCGCGGCAAAGGAGGGAAAGGCCTGGGCAAGGGCGGCGCCAAGCGCCACCGCAAAGTCCTGCGCGACAACATCCAGGGCATCACCAAGCCCGCCATCCGCCGCCTGGCCCGCCGTGGCGGAGTCAAGCGCATCTCCGGGCTCATCTACGAGGAGACCCGCGGCGTGCTCAAGGTGTTCCTGGAGAACGTGATCCGCGACGCCGTCACCTACACGGAGCACGCCAAGCGCAAGACGGTCACGGCCATGGACGTGGTCTACGCGCTCAAGCGCCAGGGCCGCACCCTCTACGGCTTCGGCGGCTGAGCGTCCTGGTGCCGCCATCACCTACTTTTCTCAATTAAAGGCCCTTTTCAGGGCCGCCCACGAGTTCATATAAAGAGCTGGACTGGCCTTAAGGGATTGATTACAAGGTTGCTTAGGGAAAAAGACTTGATGAATCTTGGGCCAAGACGGAGATACAATGTACCTGGCAGCACATGCTTTAAAAGCTTAAGATGAGCACAAATAAACACCAAAAGGACTGAGGTGCTCGTACATAACACGTTTGGAAGCATTTGAAAAGCGCCCCTTTTGCGTGTAGCTGGGTGGTCTGAGGCGTTTGCACATAGCCTCTTAAGCCTCTCAGGCAAAACACTCAATGGGCCGTGAAGTTGAGTTTTGGGGGGCGGGGGGGGGTGTTATTAACATTTGCACTGTACTATTGACTAAAGTGAGGCCCTGTAATGTGCCTTAGGACTACAGGAAAAATGGCTGTATTGTAAGGCCTGTACAAAAACTTGGGAAACTGGAGACAGGTTGGTAACACCAAGAGCAACCTGTAGGGAGCCCCAGTATTGTAACTTGGGGTCTGGTGGTGAGACATCCTTCATCCTGTATGGGCTCACTGCCGGGTCAGATGAAGCATGGTCTTAGACCATTCTCACAATTCCAGCCTCATAGGAACGTGAGGAATTAGCTTAAAGGCAGGCAAGAACTGGGTTGATTAGCTACACATAGAAATCTGTTACGTTATGTTCCATTTTAGTGCACAATTTTCGCAAGAAGCCAAAATATATAAATGAGAGGTGAGGACCTAGTGAGCCACCGAAGAACATACTGGAATGCACTGCATAGTTTTGCAGTGGGTTTTGTTCAGTCACTCCTGAAACCACAGCTGAAAACAAATTTACATTAGCATAGACTTAATATTTATAATAGTTATGTAAGAATGCTAAATCAAATTAAGGAAAAATTAAAAATTTAAGAAGGTACTTCAGCTTGGACCCTGTGTACTTATACAATTTTTAGGACAGGAAGATTTAATTTGGGCCCTAACAACTGCAGTCACAAATATTTCTATAGAGGTTTAAGGTAACTTTTATAGTTATTTCAGTGTATCTCGGCCTGTGGACTGCTCTGGCACTCTTATAAATAAGATGTATTAAAATATTAAGATCAGCAGGTGCTGTGGCACACACCTGTAATCTCATGGCTCTGGAGGCAGAGGCAGGATGATTTCGAATTCAAAGCTAGCCTCACCAATATAGTGAGGCCCGAAGCAACTCAGGGAGAGCCTGTCTCTAAATAAAATACAAAATATGGCTAGGGATATGGCTCCGTGGTGGAGTGCCCTGAGTTCAATCCCCAGTACCACCCCCCCCCCCCAAAAAAAAAATGACATTCCTACTAGACCAATACTCAAAATACACATTATGAAAGATGACGTTTGTTGATGTATCAGACATCTCATAGCATAAACACTACTAAATATTCTTGCAACTGTACACTGAAAGTATTTTCAACCATCACACAGGAGGAACATTAAAGTTAATGAAAGGTTCAACTTCCCTATCCCCAATCCTGAACACCATGATTCATAATTCAGTCAATGGACACCGGGGAAACTCTTGACTAGAACTATACACCTTAAAAGGGTAAACTGGACTTAAGCATTTTTCTTTTTCAACAAAACGAGGCTTTATTTCTGTGCTGACTTATTCCTGTTCTCCATTTTGATAATTCCAGAAGCAGATAATTCCACAAAGCAAACCGTCTAATACAGCACACCCTTCTCTACCCCAACTACATTTGCCATCTCATGTGGTCAACTTTGACTATCTCACTAGTGTTAGTACAATATAAGCACTAACTATACTTCTATATTTTTCCAGTGTCAAGCCATTTTAAAAATTTGGGTGGCTCTTAAAAGAGCCTTTGGGTTCGTAGACAATTCGGCTTATCTCCTCTCTTCACTTCTTCGAAGCCGCCTTCCTAGGGTTGGCTTTCTGCAGGGCCAGCTTGGGCTTCCCAGTCTTGGGCTTCCCCGCTCTGGCCGTAGCAGGGCTCTTCGGCTGCTGGATGCCCTTGGCTCCTTTGGTCTTCCTCCCACTCGCCGGAGCTTTCTTAGGTGTAGGCCTGGGCTTTTTGGTTCCCTTGTTGGTTTTGGCACCCTTTGGGGACCTTGAGTCCCTGGACAGGACCAGCTTCTTAGCCTTGGCAGAAGCAGGCTTTCTGACCTTGGCCTTGGTGGCTTCAGGAGCAGCCTTTCTGCTGAGCTTGAAGGAGCCAGAGGCACCAGTACCCCTGGTCTGCACCAAAACACCCTTGCCCACCAGACTCTTAAGAGCCAACTTGATGCGGCTGTTATTCTTCTCAACGTCATATCCTGCGGCGGTCAGGGCCTTCTTGAGGGCAGCCAAGGACACACCTGCTCGCTCCTGGGACTCGGAAAGAGCCTCAGTGATCAACTTGGACACCGAGGAACTCCGAGCCTTGCGACCTGCACCTGTCAGGCCGACCGCCTTCTTCCCCCGCTTTTTGGCAGGCGGCTTCTCCATTGGGCCTGGAACAGGATCAGTGGGAGCTACAGGAGCTGTTTCCGACATACCAGAAGAAGCAGGACGTTAACAACCACCTAGAAGGGTGAAACGTGGCGGGGCCTCAGGGCCTTATATAGGGCAGGGCGCGCTGTGATTGGTGCATCGCTCAGGAACCGCCCCCGCCCTCGGAGGAGGAGCACTTGTGTTTGTTTGCCTCGAAAAGTTGCATCCCACAAAACTGGTGGGTAGCAAATCGCCTAGGTTCCACCGCAGGATGCTTCCTAGAGACTCACATTTCATATGCCTTTTAACCTTTCAGTGACAAATGACCCTACATGACAAATCTTTTCGAGAAAGCCCTCGATTCTTCGTCAAATTCAAGAGAAAGAACCAAACATCCTCTTTTCCCTGTTAATTCAAAAAAAATTTCTAGTAGAAAATTTACTTCCTGTCTTCCGAATGGCCTTCCATATGGGTAGCTTCTTATTGGTGAAGAAAAGAAATTATTCATGCCCCGATTTTCATTGAAATTTATTTATATATGTGAAGGAAGTAACACAGATCTCTTAGCTGTCTCACTGAGGAGTTAGAGAATGTATAATTACCTAAAAACTGCAGAATATGTCCTTATTTAACCAAGGATCATCAAATAAAACACAATCCACAGGGATGAGGGCTGTGTGTGATTAAAACTACCTCCCAGTTCCTGGAGCTATATGGAAGACCTTCAAGGTCAGGGTGGTAGCCATGAGATCTGCTTGGCCAAAGTCAGGCCACTTTCATGAATGATGTCCTCCACTGGACATCATTGTCCTTTGTCCATCATGTCCTTTGTCCTTTGTTAATGCAATACCTCCCCCTCCTGATCCCAGATAAGCAGTCCTTGCCCATAATTAACTATAAACGGTGAGGCAGGAACCCTGGTCTGAAGTCCTAGTGGAAACTGCAGACCCGGTCTCTAAGACTGGACTGGCAGGTGTGGTTTCAAATGTGCTGGAAAAATGTTCTTGAAAGAATGCCCTGTATGTGGCCCTGAGCTTCTCCCCACATGCACTGTAATTCTTGGTTTATAAATATTTTTCTATAAGGAGATCCCAGGTGCATTTTTCTGAGCACCCTATATTTTTATATGTTTGTTTCTCTGACCCTCCACCATATCTGAGCTTTTGTGCCATTAAGTGTTAGTGGCTTATGGATCAGGGTATGGATCAGGCTGATTCTTATATTTACAGGTTGACAGAAGTTATCATCCCATTTCTTTAAAAGCAACAAAGAATTGATAATTTAGGTAATTCTTAGATTTTATATATATATATATATATATATATATATATATATATATATATATATATATATATAAAACAGAAAAGGAACCATGATTCATATTTTACCTTAGCTGAAAAGGTACCATAAAAACAGGCACACACACACACACACACACATATGCATTACCTGTCCTGTACTAGTTGTAAAAAGAAAAATAAGATTTATGTATGATATAGATATGTAATTAACATTCCCCAAAAATAGGAATCAAAAGCCCAAGGGAGGGACTGGGGCTGTGGCTCAGTGGTAAAGAGCTTGCATAGCATGTGTGAGGCACTGGGTTCAATCCTCAGCACCACATAAATAAATAAAATAAAGGTATTGTGACCATCTACAACATATATATATATATATATATATATATATATATATATATATATATCCCCATACCCAGAATATTAGACATTCATAAAAATTGCGTTTCTAACCAGTTACCTATAAAATCATATATTAATAGCATGATAACTATATTTGCTTTATATCTATTTTTTTTATTTTTAATATTTACTTTTAGCTGTAGTTGGGCACAATACCTTTATTTCATTTATTTATTTTTACGTGGTGCTGAGGATCACACCCAGGGCCTCGCGTGTGCTAGGCGAGTGCTCCACCACTGAGCCCCAACCCCAGCCCTTTATATGTATCATATTGTGTGTACACGAGGTATGTTCATATTCATATAGATAGCTATCTCAGATATATATAATGAATAAGAGATACTAGGAGTTGTTTTTTTTTGTTGTTGTTGTTTTAATGTTTCTCTTTTCACAAATTTCTACAGGAATATCTAACACTCTTACACTCAGGGGAGAAAAACAAGAAATGAGTTCTTCAGCCAGGTGTCTATGGTTCCTTCCGTGATTGTTAAATGTACCTCCATTTGTCTTTTTCCACTGTCACTCATTTTCATGGTTTGACTTGTGAGATAAAGCAGGGTCCATCAGGGGAAGCAGAGGTGGAGAGATGTCTAGAGGCTGTGTGTTCCTCCTGGGGAAAGAAAGAGATTGACCAGTTAGTTCACTGCTGCGGCCCAGCCACGTCATTAGACTGGACTCCGAGAACAATATGATGACCGTGGCGACTGGTACTCACTGGATGTTCTCGCTGTGCCAGGCACTGTTTGAAGCATTTCCCAGAAGCCAGTGCCTTTGGTCATTGCCACAACCTTATGAGGTTATCAACTGTTGTTCATCCTGCTTACAGATGAGGACAGTAAGGCCCAGAGAGGCTGAGTTTCAGGGGCACAGCTCTTGGATGACAGACCTCTGCAGTAAGCCCACACTCTGCAGTAAGCCCTCTGGTCTGCACTTAAAGGAGACATAGTGACAGGAAGCAGAGGTGAAGATGGTCCAAAGTGGGAACATCGGCTTGGACAGGTGTCCTGCAGAGCTGCCTGAGAGGTATGGAGAAAGCCCTCAAGTGAGGGCAGGCTGTGGTTCATGCGGGGGCTCCCACACAGGACAGCTGCTTTCTTCTCTCAAGTGCTCATTCCTATGAGCAGCTGGCAGAAGAAGCCACTCCCATGTCCCCCACTTCCATCTTCCTTTCAAAGAAGTACAGTCAGAAGAAAAGCATATCTAATGGAAAGTTCCCAAATAAATGCTTAGTGTGATTCTTGCAGTGTTATGTGACAATTTTTCCTTTTCTTTACAAGTAAACAAGGCAGATCTCATTTTATGCTCTCCAGTGTCCAAACTCAGCCAGAGTAATGCATGCAGGGACTGCATAAAAGAATACCCCTGTAATCCCTGTGGGCTGACTCAGAAGTCTGACAGAAAGATGTAGGTTTCTGTGACAAGTGTCCCACATTCAGATAACCTGACTGCTTGTAACTTGATTCATACTGTACCCAGGCCATTACTTCACTTTGGAAAGACAGAAACTTTTGTCACATCTTTTGCATGTAGTAGTATAAAAAAAAACAAAAAAAGTAGTCACATTTAGATAGTTTTGAAAAAAGACCTGGCTGGAAGCACAGCCTGGTGGTAGGGGGGTGGGCATGAGGAAGGCACTCCTCTCGGTAGGTGACAAAGGACACTGTACCCCCCACCAACCTTTGGTGATCGCTCCTAATTCAAGGGGTGACCTCTGATGTCACCAGAGTACATTTAATAGACATGTTCTTACTTCCAGTCTTAACAAATCCAAGTACCACACATGTTCTCCTAACACCCTTGAAAAGGCACCCCATTTAAGGACTATGCTGGAAGTCTCTCCTCCCTGTGCTCATACCCCCCTCCACACACCCTTCAGTCTCCTGCCGACAGTGAAGGCGATGGAAATGGTCCTCTGAACAGTTGAGAGTAGAACCAATAGAGCTTTATTTCTCCTCTTTTCTCATGGCTGGATCATTCCTCAAGGCCACCCCATGCTCTCTTGCTAACATTGAGTTGTTTGAGGATCAATTCAATTGATGTAGTAAGACAGGACAGTGCCAGACACATACTGAGTACTACACCACTGTTAACCACTAGAGCCATTAGCCATCGGCACTGACGTTAATATGGGTATCTGCAGATCTGTGACCGTGCCTGGTCCCCCTTTCCCTGCAAGTCACCCCTCTCTCTTATTCTGTGTAATCACTTCCCATAACTTGCTGGCTGCCTGTCTTCCTCAGGTGACATGTAAGCTCAATGTGGGCAGCAACCTTCTCCTTTTCCAAGGAGATTGGCCTGAGAGGTGACTCCTTAGCAGATGACAGACCAAGAACCAGACACGGGTCCTTCAGTGCAGGGGAGAGTGGGAAGAAGACCCTTCTTGGATCATCCTAAGACTATGGCTATACTCGGTCTATGCTAGGTGTTGTCACTGCCTCGTCAGAAGCCAGCATGGGCCCTTTAAATGGGAACAGAAGGGTAGGAGGAAGCAGGAGAGGTCAAGCAGAACGGGGAGGACACAGAACTGGACATGACAACAGAATCTGCTTGCTCTTCCTCCGTTGAATCTTGTTTGTTTCTCTGCGTGGACGCACAGACAGTCTGAAATCTGAATTTTCTTGTTTCCCTGGCAGGGAGGTGGCATCAAGACTGAGCTCTGGCCAAGCAGGGAGGGCAGGGATGACTTGTGCCACTGCCAGGCCTGGTCATGACAATCTGTCTCTCACAGAGGCATTTTTCCTTCTCCCTTTGTCTGCTGCCCTGATCCTCAGTCTCTGGCCAAGATCTCTGAGATCAGAGGATGCCCAAAAGGATTTAATGAAAGAAGACTTTTTCCCTGAAAGACTGTGGCAGGAGCTCCACTTCCTCACCATTGTGAGACGTCAGATAATGAAATAATACACTTCTGTGGTGTTTACTCAATAAGGTTTTGGTTTTGGTACCAGGGATTGAACTCAGGGGCACTCAACCACTGAGCCCTATTTTGAATTTTATTTAGAGACAGGGTCTCACTGAGTTGCTTAGTGCCTTGCCATTGCTGAGGCTGTCTTTGAACTCCCAATCCTCCTGCCTCAGCCTCCCAAGCCACTGGGAGTAAAGGCGTGCATGACCATGCCCAGCTAAACCTACTAAGTTTTGAGGGTTTATTTAATACAACAGCAAGTATTGCTTACCTTGCTTTGATGTGAGGTTTATCTGTTGAGGCAAACTCAACCTTGCCATTCATACTAGCATGGACGGCCCATCATACCTAGACCTTACAGCCACATGTGCTCTCCTTTGTGATGATAAAAAAATATCACCCCCTGCAAACGTCAAGCACTGCAAAGCTTCTGGAATGCTAGCTGGCTCTCTTTAGACCTCTGGGCATGAGGGGCTCATGCTCGGCTCCTGTTGCCTTGATCAAGCACTGAGAATGTCACACCCCTATGGTCCTCACCCCCAACACTGCTCCTTTTGGGATATTTTTTTCCCCTCCATGATACTTACTTTCTAATAGACCACATATTTGACTTTCTATGCTTTTCTGTTTTGCTCTCCTTGAATCCTAGCTTCCAGAAGGCAGTGATTTTGACTTTATTCACTGGCATATACACACATGTAGAACAGTGCTTGATAGAGAGTAGTTGTTCAAAAATATATAAAATAAGTCAATTAATTCCATTGCTTTTGTGCATCTACTATTTACCAGGTTCAGGGATAGACCCTAAGGATATTGTGGTAATGAAATCACAATTCACAAGTCTTGGCAATTAGGTGAAATGGTACAAAAGTCACACAGAACAGTAGGGAGATGGAGGTCAGAACACGCCCAGGGAAGGCAGTGGCCAAGCCAGGGAGGGAAACAGCTGATGTGTGCATGCATACGTGGCCACAGTGTGGGGCATGACAGAGGGGCAGCAGAGGTCCCAGGGAAGGGGCAGCGGGAGAGCCAGGTTTGTCTCAGGTGTTCCTAGAGGATCCTGAAGGCAAGAAAAACTCTTTTAAGCCAGTAGCAGACCACCCTTGAGGCCGCAGCTCAGACGATAGGAGGATGGAGGTGCTTTGTTGCTTTTCCTCACTTCCAGTTGATTGACATTCCCTTCTGCCCTCCTAGGAATTGATTGGGCCTAGTTCTGTCTCTGCCTCTTAAGAGTCTAGAATCCTGAGCACTCTCTTCAAGCACTCTAAAAAGTCCTGGCCCTGCTGTCTGCTGGGCACAGGCCTCTGTGACCTCCACTTGAGGCTAGAGAGTTTTCTCCATGCAAGATTTCAGATCCTGCATCATCTCTGTAGAATTATTTATATATATATATATATATATATTGTGTGTGTGTGTGTGTGTGTGTTGGTTCTGGGGATTGAACCCAGGGCCTTGTGCATGAGGCAAGCACTCTACAAACTGAGCTATATTATATCCCCAGCCAAATTTCATATATATTTTTTTAATTTCTAAAAATGTATTTCATTCAGAACTAAATTCCAAATGTGTTTTAAAATCTAGTACACAAGGCCCATTACCCTATATTGTTTAAGAATGTTTAACCATAGAAATGAAAATTTATTAAAAATTAAAATTTCCAGTGTATTTTGTTTTATACCTAAGTTTGGACCTATAATAGATAAAAAAAAAAAAAAAAAAACTTGAAAGGAAAATTGAGGGCAAGAATATAGAAAGAAGAGAGATCAAAGGAGAAAGGCATTATAAAGGTTTATTCTTATTGCTCTTGAACCCAATTCTTTTACTTTTGGAGAACTTGAATGGCCAGAGGATTAGCCTAGGTTTTCAAATGATAAAGTCAAGATTTTGCCTCAGGGTTGCCTCCAACAGGTAGGTCTATTTCCTCAAAAGGAGACAAGTCCACCATCTCTGCCACTTTGTCCCTTCCAAGCCAGCAGAAGGGAGATCTAACACAAGGGACTAACAACCACAGTGAAATAAAGCCAGATTTTCTATGGATTGTTCTGCAAATAGCTCATTGGATGACAGGGTGACCTGAATATTTAAATGATTTAACCACAGTTCAACTTTCTTTCTTCCTCAGAACTGAGGTTAGAAGTAGCAAGAAAGTAGCTTTCTCCAGATTCACTGCCATTTTTCTAATTTATAATCACCCCAGAGGAATTGAGGACAGGGCAAGCTGAATGTTAAATTCAAAGAATTTAGTCAAAGCTCAGAATATCTTGCACAAAAGGTCACACACAGGCAGCTGTGTACTCTGCCAAGTTAATTTTATATCTGGTCATCCAGTATTATGCAGGGTAAAGGTTGAGAAAAATTAATTTCAATGACTTTTCAATTTAGAATCACTGGGATTGTTTGATAAAGTAGTGAATCTATATCCCCTTCCAAATCAGGAAGATTCAAAACCAATGTTGTTTTTATATCCTTAAAAACATGCCTAGAGAGATAATTACATATATTGTAGGAAAATGCATTTCCTTTTAAACCTATTGGGTAAACACAACACAATCAGTTGACATTTTTATTTCACATAATTTGTAAAATTCCTAACATTCATGATAGACTAATTCCTACCAAGATCTCCAATCATAAACTGCCTCAAGTCCTCTTACTAAAAAAATGGTTAAAAACAAATTTTGTCAAACAGATGCAGACACACAGCTTTGTATGCAATAAAGATCTTTAATCTTTATAATCTTCTAGAAGGTACACCTATTACCTTTCTCTTTAGGGTACAGATGAAAAAACGAGGCACAGAGAGATCAAATGACTTCCTTCAAAGTCTCAGTGCTTACAAAGAGTCAGACTTAAGGATTCTGTCCCCAGAGGCTTTTCTTTTCCTTTTTTTTTTTTTAAATCATGGAATGGTGTTCTGCAGCCATTTTATTAGAATTCCATTTTTGGAACAAGTGTTATTTTTCCATTTCATTTAATTCTCACCTATCTTTATAAGTAGGTGATTATTAGCATCCCAGTCTCAAGATGGTTGACTTTGTCAAACCATTAACTCATCTAGTTAATTATTAGCACACCTTTACTTATGTGCAAGTTATATCAAACCATAGGATGACTTCAACCGGCAAAGTAAAATAAGACTTTTATAAAAGAGGAGAGAAAAAAACCTGAAGACTGGGTCTAAAAATAGGATATTGTGGTAGCTCATTATTTTCAAAAGAGCCCAGTGTGAATAGTCTATTCCTGAATAGATCAAGGACTTTTTTCCCCTTTGTTGGGGATGGATCCCTGAGCCCTGTACTAAGCAAACACTATACCCCAGAGCTACATACACTCCCAGCACCCAAGGACTTTCAATGAAATTTTTAAAATCAAATTTTAAAATTCGACTAATTATTTTACCAGTTTACTTTTCCTTATGGTGTGAAGAAAATAAGTGCTCATTGTTCAATGACTGTCAAGGAAGATCTAGAGATAGTTTTTTTTTTTTTGAGGTAAAAGGCATCAACTGTTTTACTACTTTGAATTTAGGATAGGTAAAAAAATAAAGTTATCAGAGAAAACTGGTTATTATGTTAGGATGCAAACATAAATCATGGGTATATAAAAACCAAAAAAGCTCACAGTCTTATTTTAAAGTGATGATACATATTCAATTGAATTTATTACATTACAAAACAGTACCAACTTTAAAAAAAAATAAACATGCTAAATGGTCATTCTCTTGTATTATTAAATTGTATTATTAAATTGTATTATTAAAGTTATACAGTGTAACAATTCAGTTTTTAAACTGACAGAGTCCTTGTAATTTGTAACATTATAAAAACCCTCCTTAAAAATTACATTATGATTTAATTTAATTCAATGCATGTTACAATTTTAAAATTTTAAATAAAATGTTTACTCATTTAACCAATAAACCTAGTGGGAAAAAATTTTAGTAAATTCAAATTAATTACTTTAATAATCCCAAATGGAAAAAATAATAATCTCTAAGCTTCTGTAAGCTATTAGAAGAGTATTATGTTTACATTATGCTATTAAAAAGAACCACTTTAAAGTAAAATAATTAAGTTAGTGAGTTTATCCATAAGGTAATCTTGATTAGAAAGGTGATTTTCCCTATAAATGTGTATACCAAGTATTAAAATTTCCGTTTAAAAAGTTTTACATTTCCTTATATCCTATTTAAGCAAGACCTCTAATTAAACTGTCAAACTGTTACAGTCTAAGAGGTAACACCTTTAAAACAACTTGATTTTTTTAAAACATTAGGAATTTTTAACTTAAATTGATCTGTTTTAGTTTATTATACCCTTTCCAGGTGTCAAACCTGCAGACATCATAGTAAGTAATCTTGTAACTACAATCACATTGTCTAAAATGTAAAAAAAAAAAAAAAAAAAAAAAAAAAAAAAGTCTGCTTTCTTGGTAGTAACTGCCTTAAGATCCTGACTGCTTAAGATGTAATTTCAGCCTACCGTTTTTTGGAAAGGGGAAGTCGTTCCAGTGGAGACCGCGTGTGCCCAGTCTACTAGCTTCTCAATTCCCTCAACCTCGCTCCAGCTCTTCACTGTCGCCAGCGTGGGTTGGTTTTTCAATTTACACCGCACTTGAAGCTGCCCTCTTGTAGGGTGCGTGTGGCCACTAGTTTTGTGCGCAAAACCACTAGACCAATTGCGGCAGAAGTGGAGCACTAGTATTCAGGGGAAAGATTGGCTTGTGTCTACCAATCAGATTTCGGCATACTGAAAATGTCACAAAACCCAGTGCTTACTGCCTTAATCCCCAAGACAATGTGAAGCCACTTTGACCATTTTGATTTGATTCTGTTTAATCCCCAACTAAATTCAGTGTTGTCCACAGCTCTCTTTGTGGGTATGTGGGTGGCTCTTAAAAGAGCCTTTGGGATTAGGTGTAAAAAACGCTTACTTGGCAAGTTCACTTGGAGCTGGTGTACTTGGTGACCGCCTTAGTGCCCTCCGACACGGCGTGCTTGGCCAGCTCCCCGGGCAGCAGCAGGCGCACGGCCGTCTGGATCTCCCTGGACGTGATGGTCGAGCGCTTGTTGTAGTGCGCCAGGCGAGAGGCCTCGCCGGCGATGCGCTCGAAGATGTCGTTCACGAACGAGTTCATGATGCCCATGGCCTTGGACGAGATGCCGGTGTCGGGGTGCACCTGCTTAAGCACCTTGTACACGTAGACGGAGTAGCTCTCCTTGCGGCTGCGCTTGCGCTTCTTGCCGTCCTTCTTCTGCGCCTTGGTCACCGCCTTCTTGGAGCCCTTCTTCGGGGCGGGAGCGGACTTCGCTGGCTCAGGCATTTTAAAGCCTTAAGACAGCAGAAATACAATGAAAGCATGAAGCAGATTTCTGCTATTTATAGGGCATTTATGCTAATGAAGGATGCAGAGCAAGTCTTACCTAATTGGAAGATAAACGGCAGTGCTGTCATCCAGGGGCAGAACTATGCAAATGAGGTATGGAAATACAGCTTTTCTATTGGTTTCTTAACTGATGCTTATTGTGGCCAATCAGAGAGTCGGATTTACTAGCCAGGAAATGTCTATAAAAGCAGGCCTGTCCTACATACTTCCTGGCCTTATTTGTTTTGCTAGAACCTTTTTTCTTGTGTTGGTGTCTTGAGTGTGCAGATCTACGATGTCTGGTCGTGGCAAGCAGGGCGGCAAGGCGCGTGCCAAAGCGAAATCTCGATCTTCTCGCGCTGGGCTGCAGTTCCCTGTTGGCAGAGTCCACCGTCTGCTGCGCAAGGGCAACTACGCTGAACGAGTCGGGGCCGGCGCGCCCGTGTACCTGGCAGCAGTGCTGGAGTACCTGACGGCCGAGATTTTGGAGCTGGCGGGCAACGCTGCCCGCGACAACAAGAAGACGCGTATCATCCCGCGTCACCTGCAGCTGGCCATTCGCAACGACGAAGAGCTCAACAAACTGCTGGGCCGTGTGACCATCGCTCAGGGCGGCGTCCTGCCCAACATCCAGGCTGTGCTGCTGCCCAAGAAGACCGAGAGCCACCATAAGGCCAAGGGCAAGTGATCTGACATCTGAGCTTCCGGAAACACAATCAAACCCAAAGGCTCTTTTCAGAGCCCCCCACTTTCTCAAAGAAAGAGCTGATACTCGTACTAACTAGTTCTTCCCATGCTAGTGTACCTAAAGCTTACCTCTGCCTTTATTTTGGAGGACAAGGTAAAAACTGGGCTATGGTAGGGAACTGTAAGTCGGGTAATGACAACGTTTGTATGTACTTGGTCATACTCTCAGGACACCATTTATAAGATCTTGTGACTGGTAAATTGAGCTCGAATCCCTAGCAGGCGAAATGGAGCTGCTGTCATTACACTGCTAAGATCTGTTTTCCTAGTTTCTAGGTCTCTTCAAGTTTTGGGCCGGAGAGTTATCTGCTTTGAATGGGAGTGCGAGGGCAGGGAAGCCCAGCATGGCCAAGGCTTGCCCAGGCCTGGGCTCCTGGATTAGCCAAGCAGAGGAGTAACAATCAGGACTCCTGGAGCTCCGCTGAAGCATTTAGAGTGGAATGGTTTCGTTCCTCTATTAAAGTCTAACGTGTAGTCGAATTTATTATTGCTAATCCAAGCAGAAACTGGTCCTGCAGATGTGCCTTCTGCTTTCCAGATACTAACTTGAATAGTGGGGTCTGGTGACATCGTCTCCATATCTCCCTCCTTTCTTCCCAAAGCTGCTCTCAAAGGGAGAAAAAAAAAAGTCTAGCATCCCAGATCTCAGTGAAGGCCAGGTGGTAGGAAATCAAACGGATACCTTAATGGCCACCTGTTAAATTTTGCAGCATTTTGGAAGTTAGGAAGGCTGAGAACCACCAGACTTGAAGCAAATCTGGCCTCAGTGCTCAAATGCCTGACATTTACTGCATGTTGTTTGAGCCTTAATTATTGATTTATTTTCCATTTGGATTTAAATCCACCTCCCCCACTTCCTAGGTGTATTACCTTGGTTGGGTCTAGGTCTTTAAATCCTTTGGCCTCCACCTCTTCCTGTCTTTGTTCACCTTCCTTTGGAAGGAGCTGCTCAGCAGTGAAATCAGATTGGGCTGATTAGGAGAGATGACTTCTTAGGTATTTCCTGCGTGCCAGGCACTTGTCTGTGTGCTCCCAGCATATTAATTCACTTAATCCAACAACCTTAGGAAAAGTTTCTCACCCTATCATAGATTTACTAATAAAGAAACTGAGGAACAGAGCTTAAATAAAGTCCCAAGGTCAGGACTACTAATGATCATTGTCAGAAATGGAAACAGAAAAATCAACACAAAATAGATGAACTTTATTTGCATACCAGAAAGTTCAAGATGGCATATTAAACTCTGTGAAGAGCTTAAGAGTGGAGGAGAGATAACTTCCCCAGAATCTACATGAAGAAAGGGAGGGGAAAAAAAAAAAAGCCAGTAGCTTTTTGATTTAGAGTGTGACTGGTTTGGCAGAGAGATGGTTTCCAAGAGATCCCCAGGACTTGATAAACCAATATGTGTTGAGTAAGGCAAGAAGATAGAAATTTGGAATTGAAATTTGAACTCTTTCCTGTGGCTCTAATAACAAAAGGTTGTATTTGAATACTGAGTGATACATTGTGAACTCTATTAACCTCCATGGTCTGTTCTCTTCAGCAAGTCTTCCAATAAGGTCAAGGACCCGTGATGTTAACTTGTATCTAGTCAGCACAGAATCTGGCACACATAGACACTTGGTAAGTGGGCACTGAGGGAAGGTTGAGCTGCATGAATCAGTGGCTGCACAGTCAGGAAGCACTTTGTTGTGGAGGGTCAGTTAATTACTAGGGGAGACATGAAGTACACACCAGATGGACACTGTCACTAGCATCCTCTCTTTCCAGTAGAACGTCCCTCTCTTGTAATAATCCAGTTTGCAGTGGGATCTTGTCTTAGGAGCATAAGAGAAGCAGAAGGGACCAGTTGACCACCTCTTACCTAAGAGACACAGCGAAGAGCCTGCCTCCAAGCCAAGGACGTCTGTCTCAGCTCTGTCCTGGCTCTCCATCTCCAGCACACCTCCTTACCATCAGCTTGGCACTGTCATTATTCATGTCTAAAAGCCCTAGTTACCCTTGGGAAATTCTCTATTGGACAATAAATTCCCCATAGCTACAGTTGGTTTCCAGTGCTTGAGCAGGTATCTACCTTCCATGCCTCAAGGGTTCTGGGAAAGACTATTTAAATTGGAGCAAGTTAATGAGATTACTACACCCAGGCCAACCTAGTTTCTGAAGGCACCAGACTACAATGACAAAAGTTCATCCCAGGGTGTTACTAAGAAGCAAGTCTGGGACTGGGGTTGTAGCTTAATTGGTAGAGCATTTGCCTAGCATGTGTGAGGCACTGTATTCAATCCTCAGCACCATTTAAAAATAAGTCAAATAAAGGTCTGTGTACAACATATTTATATATATGTTGTACACAGACCTTTATATATATATATATATATATATATATATATATATATATATATCCTGAACAAAGTTCAACATAATATCTCCAATTGTTATATTTCCTTTTTACATTGCCAAGTAATCTGCAAGCAATATTATTTTCTTCTGTCACCTGTCACCTCTACTCCTTTTTTTTGTTTTTCTGTTGTTGTGGTTGCTGCTGTTATCCTGTATCATTTGGACTCTTTTTTGCAAGTATAATGAATTTTAGAGCCAGCTGTAAAGAACTTTTATGTATTTTACAGTTAGATTTAGGTTACTTTGTAAAGGTTTGTCAACTGTTGATTCTAAATTATAATCATAAATTTATATACTACTGGTAAATATAGTGCATGTATATTAAAACATTATTAGGAATTTTAGTGAAATAATTTTTATGCACACTGAAATAAGAATAATGGTAGTCATAGGACTCTCTCCTCTCTATTTTTAAAATTCCTTTCCAGACATAAGGCAAAGATTAACATAAGAAAGTTTACTAAAAGACACCAAGAAAATTTTGTTATTAAATAGAAACATGTATTGTTGTTGTTGTTGTTGTGTTTTTTGTTTGTTTGTTTTAAGAATAAGTACAACCATTGCAACTTCCAGAGAAATAGAAATGTGGCCTGTAAACTTCAACATAAAGTGAATTAGTGTATCATACTGAAACCATATCAGAACTTCATTGACTTAACGGCTTTCGTTGTCGTTTGGGTAGCATGAGGGAAGTCCCGTTTTTAGGATGTAGAATTTATGCACATTGCTTACACTCAAGGCTCCATCGAAAGAAGCAAATATGCTAAGCTCTTAACTTGGGAATATGGTGTCTGGCTGCTGGCTCAGTTTAAACTTCCAACATACCCTTGACTGTCTGAGTCTACCAAGACTTCCACAACCAAACGATGCAGATTGGATAATGTAAACAACAGAAATCTATTTTCTTATAATTCTAGAGTAAAGAAGAAGCCTAAGGTCCAATGCCCTCAGGGTTGGTGTTTGCTGAGCCTTTCTCCTTGGCTTAGAGAGGGCAACTTCTCCTGTGCTCCCACAGCCTTTCCCCAGAGAGTGACTAAAGAGTGCTGCTGCTTCTTATAAAGGCACCATGCTATGGGTTCAGGGGCCCATCCTTAGGGTCTTCTTTAACCTTCCTTACCTACTAAAGCACCATGTCAGATAACACTCACACTAGGGTTTAGGGTTTCAACGTAAGAATTGAGTTGGAAGAGTAACAATTCAGTCCATAACATTCCCCCTCTGGCCCAATGAAATTTATGTCCCTTCTAGAAGGCAAAATGCATTCATTCCATCCCAATAGCACTCCCCCCCTCCTTCTTAATTCATCACAACATCAATTTTAAAGTCCAGAGTGTAATATTTATCATCTCAATTACGTATGGGTGAGAATCAGGTAGGATTCATCCTAAGTTAAAATTCCTTTCCAGACATAAGCCCGGGTGCCGCAGTCTGGCTGGGCACAAATGCAGCAGTCTGGCTGGGCACACAATCACGAGCCACCACACAGCTTGTAGATTCAAACAGCAACTCTTTATTCCCGAACTCACACCAGCCGTCTACAATCACGTTCTGGGGAAATCCACGTTCTCTCCCCAAATCCACCTCCACTGGGCTTCTGTCTCCCAAAAAATACTGTCTGAATCCCGTGAGAACTCAAGGGGAACTCAGGCAGCAGGATACGCCCTATTCCCAGCAGGAATAATCTTAAACCTGGAACGCCCTAAACCCGATTATCCTAAACAGGGAACACCCTAATCCCGGATCCGCCCTGGTCCTTGAGCAAGGTCACCTAACTGCAATGTCACTGCAAAATGTCCTATTTCCACGAGTCCTTCCACTAAGCAACATGGGGTACGCTGGCAAGGAAATTGTCATACCTACTTGGCTAATGGCTCCCAGCACCCGGGAAACCAGTTCTAGGCTTCTAAAATGCAATTGTGGGGCAAGTGTAATATGGACACTCATCTTAAAAGGAAGGGAGGGAGGGAGGGAGGGAGGGGTGATAGCCCTTCAGGGAGTCCATGGCTTGGCCAAGCAACCTCTGTCAGATCTGATGTCTGGGAATAATCCACTTTGGATTGATGCTCTGTCTCCCAGATGTGACAGTGTGGCCGACAGTGTCACCCTCGTGGCTCTGAGACGTGGCTATGAGAGGGGCTGACCTCTTCAGTTTGGTGGGTTCGCTCTGGGCAGCACTCGTGGGACCCGGAACCCTGGTTGAGGTGGAGTCCGCCTTGCCTACGCCCCATGCTCACCCACGGCATTGGTGCCTTGGTGGTAGAGGCAGTTCCCACGATGTCTGGATCCCTTGGAGCATTTCCTTCCTTTCTTGTCAAGATGGAACATCTTATTTAGTATTTAGTGTAAATGGGCAGCGTCCCTCTGGTTGTCGTCCCTTCTGTCTTTTGTCTTCTGCTGAGACTGCTGATTTAGTAGTTCATGAGAGGCACCCGTGATATTTTTATCAAACGCTACCCAACACACCTCCTTAAGAAAACCTTTCTCAACATTTACAGTACAAATAAACTGACAATTTTCCAAACTTCCTAGTTTGAGTTCCTTAACAATTCCTGCTTCAATTTCTCTTTCCTCTAGCAGCTTACTGTAAGAAGTGAGGCGGATCCAAATTTCACCTTCTGAACTTTGCTTACAAATCTTCTCTGCTAAGTATCCTGTTTTGTTGCTCATAGGTTCTACCTTCCCCCGACACTTGAATAGTCCAGGCACCTTTTGTGCCACTTTATAACAAGGACCACCCTTTCCTCCTGTCTCCAACAACACATCCCTCACTTCCATCTGCGACCTCACCAGAACGGACTTTAACATCCATATTTGAGCCAATATTTTGTTCATGATTATTTATGTAATAAATAATTGTTGCTAAGAAAATGAAGTGTCCTTTCCACCTCTCCTCTTTTCTTTCTGAGTCTCTATCAGGATTGCTGTTACCATCTGTATTTCTACTGAGAGTCCCTTCACAGCAAATAGTGTTTTCTAGCATGAACCTCCAAACTCTTTCAGCCTCTACCTATCCCCAGTTCCAAAGCCATGTGTACATTTTTAGGGATTGGTTGAACCAGCACCCCACCTCTCGGGACCCAATTCTGACAGTCAACTTGAGTTGCTGTGACCAAGCACCAGAGACTGAGCAGCTGAAGAAGAGAAACTGATTTTCTCACAATTCTGGAGGAGAGGTTTGAGATCAAGTCCCAGCATGGTCAGCTTCCAGGGAGGTGCTCTTCCTGCTCATAAGTTCCCTCCGGGCCTGCGGCCAGCTGAACATATCCATTCTTTCCTGTATTTTTTGACACCAGAACTGAACTGCAGAGATTTGACTTTATGCCACAGCCAATGTCCTTGCATCAAATATTCATCTCAAAATGACCCAAATGTTTTAAGCTCTAAATTTTAGAAACGTGGAGCCTGCTTCATGTCTCTCTTTCTTCTGTGTCTCCTCGATGGTTTCCACAATATTGCCATTTCAAGGATCACCTCTATAATAAACCTCCAATTTCCCATCGATGGCACTGCCTTTTCCCTGAAAAGCAAAGTGCATCTCTAGATTCTTACTTGACATCTTCCCTGGGAATGCTAACAGGCCTCTGAACCCGAATCCTTCTGAGCTCCTTCAGAAGGTCACCTGCTTCTGACCACCCGGCCCAGTAAGGGACACTACCACAAACCCATGTATTCAAGTCAGCATTTCAGAAGTGAAACCTGGTGCCTTTCCTTCACCTCCACAAATCCATGCCACCCGCATCTTCCAACCATGTCTGAAGGAACTCTCTACACTATTTTTTTTTTAAGAGAGAGAGAGAGAAAAAATTTTTTAATATTTATTTTTAGTTTTCGGCGGACACAACATCTTTGTTTGTCTGTGGTGCTGAGGATCAAACCCAGGCCGCACGCCTGCCAGGTGAGCGCGCTACCGCTGGAGCCACATCCCCAGCCCCTCTCTAGGCTTCTTACCTGAGAGGCTGTACATGATCATCTCCGGCTCTGGCCAGCTCTCTGACCTCATTCCTTTGCTATTTCCCAGCCTCACCGGCTTCTACCCTACCAGGCAGCTAAGTTGCTGCTTCAAGACATTTGCATGGTTGGTGTAGTTCTCTGAGATGCCTGTCCTCTGACTTTTCTTTCAGTGAACCATTCAGGTCTCAGCTCCTCCTCAGACAGCCCTGACATAGTCTTGCCTGGAAAGATTAAAGCTCTAAAAATGTGATTTGTGAATATCAGGTGACATTTTGGGAGACCATTTGTGTACCACTGTGTGTGTGTGTGTGTGTACACAGACATGTTATTATTAAACCAGGAGGAAACACAAAAATCGTATAGGAACAAATACAGACCATATAGGTGAAAAGGGGCCTAAGATGTAATATCTGTGAAGACAGCGTGGACAATGGCAGTGACCTGGGATGTGAAGTTCAATACACTCAATTGACAAAGAGGAACAGCAAATATCAGGAAAAAAAGAAGAGGACATAATATAAAAAATGACTGAAGAGGGTGTGTTATCTTCTTCATTAAACTTAAATGGCCAATACCTGTATGGGGAGAAAAACTACTAACCCAACTACTATTAAGTTATGCATATTAGAGCAACAACAATACTATTTCTCACCTACAAATAGGGAATTACTTACTAAAACCACTAATATCAGGACTGCTGAGGACAAGTAATAATTTCCACTGTCATATCATCTTTAAGAACTTGTCCTGGTAATATCTACTACCAGATACTTAGGAAGGGGAGACATCTATCAATTAGAATAAATGCCCTGCTGTGTAAGTTTGCATGTTGAGAACTATTTTTTCGATACTGGAATAAGAAAAAAAAATCTAATTATAGTTGCACATTTTCTGAATAACATAAATGAGAAAAACATTGACTTAAAAGTAATGGGACATTCATTTTTTTTAAGTAGCTACCATAGACAA